TCTTTTCAGTGGTGACCTTTCTAAAAAAGGTCAGTTGCCAGTTTCCTTGAGAAAAGAGGGAATTCTCAAAAATGGTGATTTAAACAATTTTGGTTGCAAGTGGTACCCAAGCATTCTTGAGAAAAGATGATTATAGACAACGTTTCTCACTTGGTTAAGCATATCTCCTGGAATGATTTAGCTGTTCTTGCTCTCCTGTCATTACATAACATGAATTTTACACTGCTTTAGGCATTTTGTTAGTTAAAAAATTGCTTGCACACTGTGGTCTTTTTATTTCTTTTTAATAACAAACACAAGGCTCAGCACCGTGTTGAGTGCTAGCTACTGCAAGATAGAGTAAGATTAAAAGCTTGCTGCTCTACAGCATAGGCTGCCTTTATACAAAAGAGCCTTTTTACAAAATAAAAGCATGGCAACAGCAAATACAGTGCCTTTTAAAAAATTGTTTTCCTCAATTGAGTTTTCCAACCTGAAGTTTTGCTGACTGTATGCCTCTAATACCCTGTTTCCTTGCCATCAGCATTAAACCTTGCAAATAGGAGAGTTATGTTAGTTAATAAAAAGCCTGCTGCCTTCCTGAGAGGAATCTGGCAACTCTGAGAGAGATGAGTCTGCTGGCAGACCCTGCTTTCCTTCCTTACGGACAGACAGACAGACACTGGGGTTTACAGGTGTCCAGTCAAGGAGCATGCACAGCCCACAGAGTTCTGATCTGGGTTCCCTACAGTGCATCACAAAGGGGAATGGGTGGAGATGATGGCTGGTGGAGGCAATGACATCAAGACAAGCTTATAAATAATAAAATCTGACCTTTCATCTGTAAGGGAATGGGAAGTGAACACGCACTTTCAATGCATCAGAGAAATCCAGGAAGGATGAACACGTCACCAGCGATTTTGGGGTAATCATTGTATGAATTTTGAAATCAGCTGCATGTAAGTGTTTTCAGAGTATGAGATACCACCCCATGGTCATCTGGATCCCAGTTTCCTGGAGTTTCACCACGTGCTGGATCAGACCAGAGTCTGTCAGAATTTCTGTCCTGCTTTCAGCAGTGGCAAGTGTCTCGCTGACCAGTGGGGAAGTCCCCAGCTTGTGTAGAAAAATACTTGTGAGATTGGGAGCTTCAGAGAGAGAGATTTTCCTTCCTGGACCACAGCAGGGATGTTGCACAAGTTTTGGTTTACAGCACCTTACAGCTGATGTCAGCTGTATTTATGCCCTGCCATTCATAACTTTGGCTGTCCTTGGCAATCCCTGTTGTGATCCTGCCGTGAAATTGTGACATAATTAAAGTAAATTCATAATTAAAGTAAATTCTCCAATGGAACATACTCTTTCAAAAGACTTGCTTGCAGAATATAGTTCTTGTCTGTTGGATCTGAATGTGGCTATGGAGATCCCAGTGCTGGTGCCATGCTCATCACCCTATCATGTCCAGACCTTTTGTTGGCTCCTTTTCTTTTTCTTCTGAAGAGACCCCTTTTATCTGTCAAAGACTAGAGCAGGGAAGGAGGGGTTGCCTCTCCCATGAAAGGAGTCTGAACACCTCCATTCTTGGCTGCCTCGTGGCAACTGGAGACAGAGATAAAATGAGTTTTTTTTCAGCTCTTGTCTCTTACACCTGGTGCAGGCAGCCAGCTGGAAATTGGACAGAGTGGAATTTGCCATAGACTTGTGGAAATCATAATCAAAGACACAAGTGTGATGACCTTTCTTAGCCAGGAAATAATGAATCTGACTGTGGGAATAAGAGTCAGGCACACAGGATTTAGTCCAGAACTGGCTGTGGATCCATCCTTTTTGGAGGGAACTGCAGAAATTAACTTTCAATGAATAGTTAGTGGCGATAACATGACTTTAAAAAATGATGGTCAAAACCAGACAGGTTAGCTCAAAATGTCCTGTCATTCAGTATACAGTTTGGATTTTTACAGCTGGGTATGGACTGGCTCATGTAGAATTAAATCTGCATGGAGTTATGATTTGTAACTGTAGAAATAGGGAAAGAATAATTGTGTCTTGATTGAAGAAAATAATGACTCATGATAAAATATAAGGTAGATTAAATAAAGAGGGTTCTGTGAATACTGAGATTTGGGTACCTAAGAAAAAGGAAGGGTCAGACACTGCCCTGTTCTTCCTTCAGTTTTATCAAGTTGCTCAGTGAGCAGCACCATTAATGAAACATGGATTTCTGCACTTGGATTTATTGGTCTCTAACAAGAGGCAAACACTGATTCAAGATTTTCCTTTGGCTGGAATTGGACACACACATACGCACACATTATACACACAGATATTAGTAGTGGGCCTGGCAGTGCTGAATTTGCAGCTCTGAATTTGCAGTTGGGCTCAATCCAATCTAAAAGATTCTATAATTCATATTCCTGTGCTGAGCATGGATGAATGAGATTTGCTTGCTTAGGAGACAAGGGTAAAAAAAAAAGTCAATTAAGTAAAGGAAAATTCAAGGGGACCAAAGAAAACACCTCTTAATATATGGTCAAGTTTCTAATAGGAATATTATAGATCTGATCTAACCCTAAAAATTAAAAATACTAATATCTACCAAGATGATTTTAGTGTCTTTTTTACCTCAAATTTTATGGGATTTAAAAGAAAAACAAACCCACAACAATTTGTCAATAGCTTGGCTTTATGTTTTTTCCCCTCCCAAGTTTCTTGTGAATTTGATCGGTTTGGTGAATCCCTTATCAAATATTTTGAGACCCTCAGGTGCAAAGAAGTATAAAATCCATAGAAGACAAGCATCAAATGCTATTTATCTGGCTGCATCACGTGTCTTCTGCTGTGTGCTCTGTGTCCTGGAGCAGTGACGTGGTGGGAATCCACAACTGAGTCCATGGCTGTGGCTGGGGAGCCTTTGCAGGAGGTTGTTTGCTTTTGGCCTGTGGAGCTCAGGGATGTGCAGAGCATCCCTGAGTGCATCATCATCGGGCTGTGCCCTTTGTGTCCGGGTGTGTGAGCAGAATTTCGGCCAGAGATGGTTCTACAAAGACCAATCTTAACAAATTTAACTTGCCACCTTGGGTTGTTTCCCTGTGGGATGGGAAGTTCAGAATTGCTGATGCTCCCAGCATCTCCAGCTTCTGGAGTGTGGTGGTGATGGGGTGGCAGCCATGGGGAGAGCTCGGGTTTGGGGGGTTGGGGTTGTCTCCCCTTTTCCAAACTGGAGGTGCTGCCTCATGACAGAAGGAAAAAAACCTTGCAACAGTGTTAAAGTGTTAAGATAAAAAGCAGCTCTTTAATGAAAGCTGCAAAATATGGTGCACAAGTACGGCTCTGTGCACGTGTGAAAAAATTCTACACTTTCACAATTTCTATAAGGTTTATTAATTAATATATCTGGCCAGTACATCCAATAAGAAATCAGTTACCCCAGTAAGCCACCCTTGGGTCAGCCCTTTGGAGTTGCTCCCGGGGCTTCTTTGCTCTGTTTTCTTGCTCTATCTGTTAAGTGCTGGTGGAAAAGAAAATGTTCTTATGAGAAATTATCTCCTTAAGTATAATATTAAACAGAATTTCAAGAATGTGTTAGAAAAGGGTTAGTGTATTATGAGAAAGGACAGGAAAAGTATTAGAAAGTGGACACATATTCAAAATCTACAAGGCTTCAGATATATGAAAATATATAAAAAGCTAGAAAAATCTTTAGGCATCAGTGGAGATGCTGGTGTGGAGGGAATGCCAGTACAGTGGGATGAGCTCCAGCAAAACCTTTGTTCCCAGGGATTTGAGCTGGTGGAATCCAGGGATATTTTATGTAATGCTCAGGCTTTACTCAGTTTCTCCTGCGGTTTGTAGCGAGGGCATCTTCCTGTGGGCAGGAAAGCAAATTTTAAAGGTTGACATTTAGGCTTAAAGAATATTTGTGATGGATCCAAATAAATGCCTTGAGTGTAAAAGTGTTAGATTTCACAAAAACTAAACTTCTATTTCTCCCATTGGTTGGCTTTTAAATATTTTAAAATCTACTTTTCTGTAGAAAATCCAGTAATCTCTAGATTATTTTTTTTTCAAAATTCATGCTTATAAAGAAAAAAGAGAGAAATGCTTTTTTTTTTTAATACATGTTCCATATTCAATAGAATAATATTTGCAGAATGTACAATCCAGTCACAGTTATAAACACTCTGAGTAGGGCATGTGTAGCTCATGCAAGCTCAGTGTCACTTTTATGTTAAAATCAGTATGCACACCTGAGTAAATGTCTTTTGTTGTCATAACCATTCTTTGACTATTATGAGGAAAATCTGTAAAAATATCCTTTTTTTCCCCCTATAAGAACTGCTGAAAGGAGCATTTGTAATTTTTATGCAGCAATGATTGTCAATAGTTATATTTTAATAGCTTTTTAGCACCAGTGAATGGGACCATATAGTTCCATAGCCATAGTCGAAATTGAAAACTAACAGTAAAAATAAAGAAAACATTGAAGATTACCATGGACTGCAATTTTAAAACATCTGCTTTCCCCAGTGTCACCTGGCACTCTGTCCCTCATCCCAGGGATGCTGGCTGTGTCCTGCAAAACAGACTCAGAGTTGCCAGGAAGAAAAAAATCCTTCTCTCAAGCAAAAGAGTCATTATCAGCTTTAGGCACCCATGTAATTCCACATTTAAAACTCAGCTTGCACGTTAATTTAGTGTTGCATTCAAGATATCTATAAAATCAAAAAAAAACACCCATGCTATCTTGCCTAGATGTTGTGAATAAAGGAATGCTTTCTAAATTGTTAAAGCATTGAGGCTTATATTGGTGTTTTGTGGTGTAGGAAGTTACTTGCATTACCAGGAGTTTACTGTTTGACCACAAATTCTTTTAGATGACCATTTGGATTTCCCTCTGAAACGTCAAGGTGGAAATTCCTGTCACAAATTAACTCTGCATCTGCTGTGTATCACAAGGAGGATTTAATTTTACTTTGCCACTGACAGCAGCCCTTTCTCTCTTTTGCTCTTTGTCCTTTCAGAATCCAGTTTTTTGTTGGGAAATGCCCAGATTGTGGACTGGCCCGTAGTTTATAGTAATGACGGATTTTGCAAACTCTCTGGATACCACCGAGCTGACGTCATGCAGAAGAGTAGCACCTGCAGGTATGCCCATTGCCTTTTTTGCTGCCACTTGGTGCTCTTGGAGACTTTTAATCTACTGGAAAGCATGGTGAGGTTTAGGGGAGAAAGGATTCAGGTAAGAAAGGCATTGTTTTGCTGATGTTGAAGTCTTAAAACAGGCTTTAAATGAAATTTATACAGAGCTTATACAACTCACAACTTATACAGAACACGGTAAAGCACCTTGAAATTTATCTTGGCTAGTATTGGTGGGCATATACTTTAGCTAATGATAAAGAGAGTGGGGTTTTAGGTAATATAGTTCAGAGGCACTTTTGCTAGATTGTTCTGAGTTCTGCTGTTACATGCCAGGAGGCAGTGGGCTCTTCTGTAGCCCACGCTGGCCCCTATTATTAAGCATACACAGAGCTCAATAATGCACAAAGTGCATCTTTATTCCCAAGAAAGTGATTAGGCTGCTGATATATTTACTCTAAGCATTGCAGCTTTATGGCTTTTTTCTTTTATTGGTGGTCTTTCAGGAGTGAGCAGCTGTGATTTGTGGCTGGATGTGCATTTGAGCTGTACATGCTGCATCCTTTAGAAAGAGATGCTTTTGGGGAAGGAATGGCTCCCTGATGTGTGTGAGTGTGTGTGTGGGCAAAGCAAATGAGGGACAGGGGCAAGAAGGGAGGGCTGAGGTAAAAGTTTGTGTAGGTTTTCCCTTTCTACCTTCAGGGAGTGACAAATTCCAGGCACTGGGGACAGAGGATGGAATATCTGGAAATGTTCAAAGCCAGGCTGGACAGAATTTGGAGCAATCTGGTCTGGTGGAAGGTGTCCCTGCCCATGTCAGGGGGTTTGGATCTTTAAGGTCCCTTTCAACCCAAACCATTCATTGACTCTGTGATGATTCTGTGATTCTGTGATCTACAGTGATGATGGGAGATGATGCTGCCATACACTGGTGCTTCAGCTGGCAGGAGCAGGGTGGGCAGGGAGCCTGTCCCTGGATGGCACTCACTGCTTTCTCCAGAAAGCAACATGTGCTGGTGTGGGGTCACTGCTCTCATCTGCAGGGAAGAGGAGGAAGCAAGATCTGGGATTGCTCTGTGCAGCCAAATGTCCTCCCAGGGGCAAGAGGCAGGAGATGGGCACGTGCTGTTGAAATGAAATATTCATTCACATAGTAGCAACAGGGTCAATACACTCTGTGGGCCAAAGGAAACAGCCTGATCACAGCTGCCCTTACACACTTTCCCCTTTGCTCACTGCCATCCTCTGTATTGAACTGTCTGTGTTTGCTGTGAGCCAGTGCTTTTATAGCCCGTGCCTATTAAAAGAATTACAATTACAGAATGGGATTGTAGGAAATTGCTGAGGAAGGGAAGGTTTAGCAATACCTGTCTGATAATGATGCACATGTGCTTCAAATATTGAGGAGACCAAAAGGTTTGTTCCATCTGGGTGCTTATTGTGAATGTGATAATCTCCTGTTACCATTTATAAGGATCCTGTTTTGAGCACACTCAAACAGGTCATTGAGGTGAATTGTACAAATTGAGGAGGAATTACTGTGGATAATGGAATTGGTAGCAAAGATTGGTTTTTTTCTTTCATCTTCATTCTAGACACCCACCTCTGGATTTTGAGGGGAGCCCTCTCTCTACACTCAAAGCGTGACCAACACTCTTGTGTCTGGCTCTTGGACAGGTTAGATGGGGCTTGGAGCACACTGATCTGGTGGAAAGTGTCCCTGCCCATGGCAGGAGGTTGGAGCAAGATGATCTATAAGGTCCCTTCCAACCCAAACCATTCAGGGATTCTACGAGTTACATGAGCAGAGAGATGTTTCTAATTTGTTAGGAGACATTCCAGAGCTGTAAGAGCTGGACAGATTTCAGATTGGGTGAGAGCTGGGCAGATTTTCAGTGTAGGTAACATGGAACATGCAGCCTTCCAGAATGCTGGAGTTGCTCTCTGATGACAGATATGGAGATGATTGGTCTTAAAGGCCAATGGTTCCTTCTTAGACTACTCAGCAGAATGTTACTGGAGGGTTTTTTTTGATATCTGGGGCTATTATTTATAGTATTTTCTCAGTCAGACTCCCAGTCCAGTTTTGCTGTGTTATGCCCAGATTATGTTACATTATATATAACATTTGCTTTATATGCAGGGTTTGTTTTACTGCTCTAAGACAAGTGCTGTGGGCTAAGAGTGCTGCGGTGCCACCTTCTAATTGCAGGTTTTGGAAAGGTCTGCTTTTCGAAGACAAAAATCCAACCAAATTAAATATACAGATACAAACGATGTATATCTAGCCCCTGATCCAAGTTATTTTTATTACTGATGAGTGTGATAAAGAACAATTTATAAATATTGCAATGTTTGGTCAAGTGGCCTCAGGCTATAAGTGCTTCAAAATTGTCTTTCAGCCATACTTTTCTCCTGGTAGTCCAGTGAGAATTCACTACATTCTCTTTGCCACCCCATCCCCTATATTGGGACTTTTCATATGCCGTGTAGGTGTGGCACTCAGGGACATGGTTTAGTGATGCATGTGGCAGTGTTGGGTTAGCAGTTGGAAAGTCTTTCCCAATCTAAATAATTCTGTGGTTCTGTGATTTTACATCTCAGATGGTCTTGCCTGATACAGATCACAGGGAGGGTGGATCAACTGAAGGCACTGGAGGTGTAAGTGATTTTTGTTCCAGCTCAGGCAATGAGTTAGTCCTGTGACAGGCTGGTAATTCCTTTGATTTTGTACTTCTCTCATCTTTTTAATCAGCAACAATATGCTCACCGGCAGGAAAATCACTTAGAAATCCCTCAGTATGAGTGCCAGTCTCCTTAGTTTCACAGGCACTATATAAAAAGCACATTGTACATACAAGTCAGGCTATATTGGGTGATGGGAGTTGATATGTGTTCTTTCTGAGCTCACGTGGCACTCAAAATTGCATGTGTAGCTTGGGCTGATATATAGAATAATTGGTATAAGTGAGTGCTAAAATGCTAAAATTTTTAGGTGGAAGAACTTATCATTTGCTGTGCCAGGTAAAAATGAGCTGAGTCCAGGAGGAATGGGGCTCATGTGTGACTGAGACACCTCTAACCTCCATTTAACAAAAGAAAAGCCCTGCCTGGAGGTATATCAGTAGGTCAGCCAGCAGCCAGGAAAATCACTGGTTTTGTGCCCAGTTGTCCCCAGACGTGACCATGTGTGTCTTCATGAACACGTTGAAAGAATAAAGAGTTGTAAAACACTGAAATGCAGTTTAATGTTGCAAGTTACATCAGTGTCATCAGTGTTTTCTAAATACTGCTGCTTATCAGCTCAACTCTGTGATTTCATCACGTCTTTGGAAGAGCAGACATCCTTTAATGGACCTCACTCCAGGCTTTGCTCTGCTTGCCTTTCCTTGCACGTGAGATTTTCACAGCCACTGTTCCCACTGGAGCACTGGGTCAGCATCTCTGCCCTGCCTGGTTTTGATTTACTGCCCTGACAAGTGGGATTAAAAACCAGCCAGCAAGGGAAATCCTGGCTCTAGTGAAGCTAATGGCAAAATTCCCACTGTGCTCAAAGAAATGGGATTATGCATGGTGGGTACAGCTGGACTTGAAGAAGGGTAGATTTGGTGCTGGGATGGCACCTCTGTGGCCTTAGTTTTTGTGTCCTTGCAAGGCAAAATCTGTGCAAAGGAGCCCCACTGAGGGTGATTGTGGGACCCATGGAGCTGCACCTGAGGAATGGTGTCTGCCCTTCACCTTGCAGAGTTTTGAAGCTAAATGTGTGCAGATGTGTATCTGTATTTGCTGTTCCTCCTGTGTGGATGTTTGTCTCCTGTAAATGATGCTTTTGGATGAAGAGTGCTGTAAATTTGGTGTAGGGTTGGATGCCTTCTGTGCTTCACTTTTCCTCTGTCCTGGATAATTCCTCTCAAAGAGCTGCTGCTGCCCTGCAAACCCAGACCTGCTCTGATGCTGCTGCTCTGCATCCTGGCAAAGGACAGAGCAGCACAATGGGAAACTTCAGACGAGCCTTTTCTGTGCCTAGAGATGCTTTAACAGGAAGGTGGGAGCCCAGGCATCCTAAATGACAACTGGTCTGCTTTAGAGGTGGAGAAAACATCTAACATTGTGCCTTTCTCTGTGTACTTCAGCAAGTCTTGCTTCTCTTTGATAAGTGTGTTTTCTATGTAGTAAGATTCCCAGTAGCAGAGTGGTTTTGATATTTATGTCTTGTACAGTTTGCACTCGAGGCATTTGACAAGCATTAAATAACAAAAAAAAAAAAAATAAAAAACAAAAAAAAAAAAAAAGGCAGAAAAAGACAGAGTGATTGACTAAAGAAGTAGGAGTCCCTCCATGTGTACAAAATAGGACAGACTAAATTAAATTAAACTTGTGATAAGCAAAAATCTTACATAACTCGTGCCATAAAAGGCTCCGAGGTTCCTTTGCTGCTGTTAAAAATTGCCTTCTGAAAAATGTTTTTATTGTTCCAGAAGCCTTTAAAATGTCTCTTTATTTGTGAATATAATATGAGATTCGAGCATTACAGGTTTACTGCAACAATAAGCTGCTTGTAATTTAAAACATAAAGTTGATTGATTATATTCTGCAGCATTAACTGGTATCGTCCACCTCTCATCATCAAGTAGGATTTGTCATTTTAACACTAATTAATGATGACTTTCTGTATCATAAAATCAAGCACTCAACAATTTCTTGCTATTTTTTCCTTCAGGGCTATGAGAAACACTGTTTTAAGTCTCAAGAAAACAGCAAAGAGATGCCTCAGAGCATTAAAAAAAGGCATAGATTAAAAAAAAAATTAAAAATATCAAACTCTTATTGTTGTCATCTCATATATAAATGTATAAAATGTTTTCAGGTGAAATGGGTAAAGGAGGTTGTTTGAAAAGGAGCAGTAGGCTGTGTTCTGCATGTCCTCGAGACAGCTGTGCATGTTAATGATAATCAGGACATTACTGAAGCCTCGTGCCTGGGTAAAACCATTTCCTGCTGTCAGCTGCTCTAGTGCCACCTCCTTTGCTGTCCCAAAGGTGACACTACCCCAGCACTGCCACCTTCACCACACAGCCACGTTCCCAAGTGCCACATCCTTGTGTTTTCTGAACACTTCCAAGGGTGGTGATTGCACAGCATTCCTGCCAGCCTGCTCCCATGCCGGAGCACCTTTCAGTGATGTTTTTCCTAATAGCCAATTTAATCAATGTCTGTGTCAGCAGTGAAGAGGCAGCTGCAGGGACACTCAGGTGTGGCAGCCACTCTGGTGCCTCCATCACCCAGAGCAGGCACCACCTTGTTGTGGGAGCAGCTCCACTGCTTCCCTGGGCTGGCTGTGAAGGGAAAAGATTCATGGTCTGGCCTTCATTGAGTACTTTAATGCTTGCTGAGCCTCTAACCACTGTGTTGTTTTATTGTTTCTTTCAGACCAGTAGACATAAAATAAATGTTTATTGAACCTTTGGAGGTCTGTTGATCAATAAGAGAAGCTGCATTGAAACCACAGAGGCACTGATAGCTTTTCCCTTTCATATTCTCAGGGTTTTCTGTTGTGGCTTCTGTTTCAGCTGAGGCACAAACTGTTTGTGAAGGAAGAGAATGGGGGGTGGGGGGGAAGCCTGATCAATTAAAAATATATTCCTCCAAGTGTCTGAAAGCTTTTATCTGATGTTCCATTTTCTTTCTGTTCTGTAATTGAGAATTTGCACAGAGCAGCCTTCACTTATTTTTAATCCAGGGGAGAATGACAATAAAAGCCTGGCTGTTTCCTTACAAAGGCTGTCAAAAGCAAGGTCAGGGGGTTGGGTTTGCCTACACCAGCTGGAGGTCTGACCTGGAAAGGAATGCAAAGATGAGATGCTTAAGTGGCAAGAAATAGCAGAGTTAAAATTACATTTTTATATTCTCAGTCTGAAGAGGGATGAGTCTCCAAAAGCATTTCAGTATTTTCCACTGAACTATTAAAGAAATGCAGTATACAGTGAGGAAAATGAGGGTGAATTTGGTTGTTTGATAGTAGTGCAGACATAGCTACACATTGAAGTCATTGCTCCTGACTGTTTAAATCCTACCTCAATTTGTGTTGGTATTTAGTAAAAGAATTCCAATTATCTTATTGTCCCAGATGCATCTTGACAAGATTAGATTTGCAGCCATTGGTTCAGCCAACAGCCTAAATTTACCTGTAGTAGATTACATCCCTCCTCCAGAAGGATTTTCAGGAGGATTGAACAAAATTTGGGAGATTTTAGAGGTTTTGTTCAATTTTCTCTGTTTTGACAGGAATACTCCCATGGCCTGCAGCTGTGGTGATAATGGTTTCATAAGCTGTCAGCTTTTTTTCTAACCATATATCCTTAAAGATATACTCAGTAAAGCACTTAATGAAGCATTATGTTGGATTTATTTGCAGTAAGAAGGTGGTCATGGTTAGTTGCTATTGTAGGTGTCCTTGTGACACTCTAAATATTTAAATGGAGTGTAAATCATAATTAAACCTTGGTAAATGACAGCTCATGGCATCTTCAATGCTTTTGCTATTTAAGGTGACTGTAACAATGTTGTTTGTCTAGAAAAAAAGAGCATTTTTTTCTTTTTTCAGTTTTATGTATGGTGAACTGACAGACAAGAAGACCATTGAAAAAGTCAGGCAGACTTTCGACAACTATGAGTCAAACTGCTTTGAAATTCTCCTCTACAAGAAAAACAGTATGTATATGTGTGTGTGGTGCTGGGAGTGATAAAGCATATTTAAAGCATGCAGTAGACTGAAAGAAATATTCATTTTGACATATGGGTAAATTTGGGGCAAGATTTGGAGAAGAAACAAGTATTTTGGTTACCACAGCTCAGGAAGAGAGCTCTCTTTTCAGGCCAAGCATTCAGATTGCCAAGAATAGTAGTTGTTCCCTGCTGTCTCTAGTCTGACTCCTTCTTTCAAAAATATATTTAGTTTTGAGGATTGTTTCCCTGAAGGGAAACTGACTGGGTAAAGTGAAAAGAAATGCTGAATGAAGTTCCCCCACATCCCTCAAGAAACTCCCTCATGTCTCCACAAGTGAGAAGCCAGGCCCTGGTTGTGGAGTGGCTGCTCCCGGCGCTGTCGAGATGCCTCCACGGTGTGTAAACCAACACATGCCAGCTCTGGGAGAGCACTGAGCCTGGCACACAGCCCAGGGATTAGTTAGAAAACCAGAGACTGCCATGCTCAGTGAGATTCAGGGCCTGTGTTCCTTCTTGGTGGCATTGGGTTTGCAGGAAGTTGCCAGAATCGGAAATTTTCTTCATTTTGTCTTAACCACGAGCCATTCCAGTCTCATTTTCTGTCGTGGGCAGTACTGGCTTGTCAACCTCAGAGCACATTCTGAGCACAGCCCATGCTGATGTGTGGCCTCATGCTGGACTTGTGCAAGGTGGACAGATCTGCTGAGCTGGTGGCTGTGATTCCTGTTGTGGTCTGTGGGAACTCAAAATGTCCCTCAGACATTTTTGGAGGTTCCGGGCCCAGGTCAGAAGCATTTGAGACCCTGGCAGGCAGCTGGAAACAGCTGTGATTTTGGGTTTAAGCCATGGAATGATTTACCAACCTTGCAGGAAGAACAAGAAGTCACAAAAGTTTAGATATTATAGTAGAAGTAGTCACAAAGTAAAGGGAAGAATTTTTGAATGCTGTACAGGGGGTTTTAGTTTTGTACATGGGGGTCAGAAGTTTTAAGATGGAGGGATCTGGGCCTGCCCTGTTCTCCCTCTTTCTTCTTCCTTACCTCCATGTTCTTGGTGATGTTGGCACTCACAGATTGGTTTAGAAAGGCACCATTTAATATAGGTAGTAGGCATTGGGGAAAAACTGTAAACATGTAACATGTAATGTACTATATAAAAGACAGCAGCAGCCCTGGGCGGGGAGAGAAGAAGCAGTCGGGAGTCAGAGAGGATGTCAGGGTGTGTGTGTGCCTCTGCCTGAGCTGCTGGGCAAACCACAGCAGCTTAGAAGAAAATCTTCTAGATAACTTGCAATAAACTGCCTTGAGACCGAACAACAAGAGACTGCTGAGCCTTTCTTTGGAAGCTCGGGTTGGAGGAGAGACTTTTCCACCACATGGGGCCACCCCCGACCCAGGGTGAGCTCCGGCAGTTGTCAGTGGAAGTGAAGGTCTCCTTCACTAGCGCAGACCATCCTCCCAAGACAGAAAGCCAAAACTCAGATTAAAGGTGCTCCAGAAGAGCTGGTTCCTCTACTCTGCACAGAATTAGCCCAGGTGACTGGGTTGGTGGCCAAGAGCAGGCCAAGATCAATCCTGATGGAGATGTTCTCCTCAGTTTGGCTCTCGGCCCCCTGTGCAGGGGCTGTGGGGCTGGGGATCTTTCCTTTTCACCTGCCTGGAGCTCAGAATCTGAGGCCATGCTTCCCCTGGGTGGGCTTTGATGCTGACATGGTTTTTTTTTACCAGAGGTTTTCCCTGCATGCTGTGGCTGAGGGAAGGGAATGTTGTGCCTCAGGAAAGAGCTCCCTGTGCCCTGACTGCCCCATTTCACTGCAAACTCACCTAATCCTTTTGTGACATTGAAGGGAGCATCCTGGACACCTCCTCTTATGCTTTACCTCTGTTTTCCTTTTTTAGACGAAATCTTCCTGTGTGGGCACTAAAATAACAGGAAAGGCCTGTAGAGTTCTCAAATTCTGCCTGCCTCAAGGCATTTTAGCCAACATGTTAATTAAAGAGAGAAGCCAGACCAGCCCTGAAGTCCAGCTGTTCCTGCAGGTGCCCGGGGGAGCCCTCCAAATGACCTCTTTTTGGTTCCTAAGCATATGGATGTGTCTGTTCCACAGATTTTCTGCTTCTCTTCCTGTTTCCTGTGCATTCCAGGTCACCTGGATGCCCCCTCACATCAGGGGAATCTCCTGGGACAGGCTCATGTTGGGAATCTTTACCAGTGGTGGTGCCCAGCACTGCCATGCCCTGTGTCCATGTGATTCCCAAAGTGGTTCCCAGAGATCCTGTGCTCTCTCCTGGCTTCTCTTAGGAAATGCTGGAGTAGCTCTTGCTCTAGAATGGGCCAGAATTATATTCCTTCCTATTTTATTTATGCATAAAAAGAGAAAAGTCTTCTCTTGGTGACTTTCCTGTGACAAGGCAGATGCTTTTGCTTTGGGTTGTGGATTGTCTGCTGGAGCTTGATGATGCTGCAGAGATTTATTGAGCTGCAGCTGCCTTAATAAAATCTTCACCTTTGCCCAGATCTCCAAGCCTACACTTTCCATAAATTATGCAGGATTACAGAAGGACTTTATGGAAAATTACTCAGTATTCCTCTCTGGGCTTGAGTCAATTCCCATCCATAACATCTGTAGGCAGTTTTCTGCTCCATCACCCGAAGCCCAGAACCTCAACCCCTCACTGATGCTAACAGCTCACCCCTGCAATCAGCTGGTGTGCTCAGGGTTCACTTCCATTTGCCATTCTCTGAGCCTCGTGGAAGATGGTCCTTCCAGACACTGCCTGCTAATCCTCCAGGCTGAAAATCAGAGCAGAGAAGGAAATAAAGATTAGTTATCTGTTGACATGAATGCACTTCTGCAGAGTGTAGGTGGTTACTCTGTGGAAGGGCTTGTGTTTGTCACCTACATGAGGCTTGCAGTGTCTTCAGAGCACCCTCCCACCCATTTTCAAACTGTAGGTCCGGGTGTGCCGTGTATTTTTGATAATGTGGCACAATGTGTGTTGTTTGGTATTTTTTTTTTTTCCTTTACCCATTAACTTTTGCTTCTGGCAGAGGGAGATTTTGAGGTTTTCAGGTTGTTTTCCCATCCTTCTCTGCTGTGTTAGAGATGATCTTTAAGGGCTGATGTTTTCTGGCAACATCTGTTTGCTGCCTTCACACTCCCCTTGGTGTTCTAACCCAGCTTGTAGCTTCCAGCTTCAAGACTTAAAAGCTTGCTACAACTCTCTTCTGCTTTGCTGCATTCCCTTATTATATAGTCCTTAGCTCTGCCCACACAACAATTCACCAACCACATTAGGCATGCCTGCATATACATATATTTATATATATATATATATATGTATATGCATGGCTCTCTCTATACATGTTTATCTATATGGTAATACTCAGGAAACCTCTTTACCTGCTTTTTCTCAATTTGCTGCTTCTGCAGCAGTAGCCACCTTTCCTCTGTCTTTGATTTTTGTCAGCACCCTTGTACTGGAGGGTGTTTTGCCTACTTGCTTTCATCTCAAAGGGTACCAATGGATTCCCAGGTATAAGTGCAAATTACTTCTCTAGAAAGCTGCAGCACTCTGTTTTAGGAGTTATGAAAAGTCTTTTGTCTTGGGTTAGCAACTGGGAATTAAGATAATCAAGTAGTCAGCGTAATGGCTTTGGAATTATCACAAAAAGCAGTCCCACATCTCTCCCACTTCTCCAGTTTACTGGTAGTGAGTTACTGGCTTAATCTGGGTAGAATTTCAATAAACCCTTGTGGGTTTTAACCTTCCCCACAGTAATCCTAGCCCAAATGGTTTTCTCTGCCCTCTGGGATCTGTGCTGCAGCTCCTGGCACAGCTCCCAGACCTGGAGCATCAGAGGAGGTTTGGGGGGGCCAGCAGTGCCCATGTGGGATAACAGTGGGCAAGAGGCTTGTGTCAGTGTGGCAGCTCTCAGGCAGCTCAGGAGAAAAGCCATTCTCTCACCTGGCTGAAAGCACATCAAGTCCCAGAGGTAATTATCTGGCTGTGAAGGCATTTATGGTGCAGAGTGTGTAGGTGCTCGTTTGGGAGGGAGGGACAGGGAGCCTTGCTGGATGGAGAACATCTGATATTCCCTGCAGGGGAACAGGGGGTTTCTAAGAAAATTGCTCCAGTGTTCTAGGATTTCACCCCTTGTGGAGCACACCTGCATGTGTGCAGGGGAACTGCCACGTGTGTGTCAGCCTGGAAACTTCAGCTCCTGAGCACCTGCAGGAGCCCTCTGCAAACAGGAGGGATTGACCAAAAGCTAAGCTGGCCACTCCAAAACCAAGGGCTGTTTTTGGCTGTTTATTTGGTGGGTGGTAGGATTTGGAAAACACTTGGTTTCATTTCAGAAATTAAATAGTGATAACTGTGCTGGGAGAGTGCTGCACTGGACAGGGCAGTGAGGAGGTAGAGGTGTGACCTGAAACAAAAAACAAAAAA